ACGTTGAGGTTGATGCCCAGGATGTTGTCCTTGATGGCGGTGCAGAGGCAGACGGCGGCGTCCAGGTCGAAGAGGCCCTCCAGCAGCGGACAGCACTGGTCGTTCGTCGGGGGGATGTTGAGCTTCAGTAGGTTCAGCACGTTGGCACACACCTCCAGCTTCAGAGCGTTGATCGGGCACGACCCGCCGCCGCCACCAGACGGCGGCGGCGGCGGTGGCGGCACCACCGGCGGAGTAGGACAATACGGCGTGCAGCCATGCACCAGGGCCAGGGCAGTGGAGAGGACGGTCAGGCCGAGGAACAGGGAAACAAGCTGCTTGGACGCCATTGGTACCGATCAGATAGCTATAGCTATAGCTCTTCAGGGCCTTAACACTACGGGAGAGGCAAAATTCCCTGAGTGTCTCTGACTTCTCCGAGTGTCAAAAATCGGGCACTCGGAAAAGAGAATCTTCCCCGAGTGTTGCACACGGGGAATAATTGCACTCGGGAAAGAGAGGTTTTTCCGAGTGCCGCAGAGATCCTGGCACTCGGTAAAGAGCAGTACTCGGCAAAGGTCCTCTTTCTCGAGTGCAACACTCGGGGAAGATCGGCACTCGGCAAAGAAACATGTTACTTGACGGTTCACCCCGCCCACGCCGTTAAAACTTAAAAAAACAAAAATTCTTCCCCGAGTGCTAGGAAAGGCACTCGGGGAAGAGGTTGCCTTCCCCGAGTGCCCTGTCCTGGCACTCGGGAAAGGGACTCTTCCCCGAGTGCCAGGGATAGCACTCGGGGGAAGATTTTTTGTTTTTTTTGCCTCATTTTTTTTGTGAGGCCTTCCCACATTATTTTAAACTCCCTGTTCAAATTTGGGACAATTTTGACTTTTTTGTTATATTTCGTTAGTTTTTTTTCGTTTCGTTGAATTTTTTTACATACTTCGAATTTGAACTGCAGGTGCATGAAATAATGGAATTTGGTGATTCAAAAAATTATATTAATGATATATGGTGTATGTTGAGGCCTTATCCAGGAACTCGCATGAAACGTCGAGCATCTTGTTGACGTAACATGACGAATAACTTGCGGGAAAAGTGTTTTTAAATTATATAAAATCCGAACGAAGTCCGAAAATTACGAAACTTGTCTGGGCATCGTGTTATCGCATGTAGATGCTATGATAAAAAAAATTGAGAAGGTTTCGAATAAGTTATGATGTCGGATGCCTAAAACCCAGACATCTACCTGTCTTTTTCTTGCTTTTGATAATAACCTGACCGGCCATATCTATATTATTTGGCCCTTTCAGAAACTGAAGCTCAGCTCAAAAAAAACTTACTCTGTTTCCCTCTCATTGATCTTGAAAGTGGCGAGAAATGGATCGTGATGATGTGGCTGGCTTTTATTAGTGGAGGTTAATTGCAAACATATATTCCCGACCTCGATCTGAGACTTCTAATTAACACAGTACAGTACGCAGCGGGATCTGTTCTTTTCATCTTTGGTATTAATATGTTTCTTGATTCGAATGGGCAGGGTCTACCTAAACCTTGGATCTGGTGGTATTAATATTAACTCCTTGAACGATCCTTGACATTGGAGCATGTACAGATCAGCGAGCAGTAGAGTATAAAGGTACTTTTATTGGCACACTACTACCACATGCCATGCATGTTGTGCATGCTCTCTATTAATTTGTCAAGTTAGCATGACATATAGCTTGTATAGACAGCGAATCGATCGATGTTTACTTGCAGGTGTCCGAACTCCTGAGCTGACCCAGCCCGGTTGATGAATGGCAGGTGATTCAGCTAATTAATTCATTGTGATATGTGAAGAAAATAAAGCCAAATCAACTCTTCCGCTGAGGGTGGAGCTTTTGTGGAAGTAGTCTGATGTCAAATGTAGAGCTTTTGTTGGTCTCTCGAGCCGGAAATTCTAGTTAATTATTGATCGTGTACAGAGGACATTTCTCTGGACTTATTGTCCACCGGAGCTAGAATTTCTCGTTAAATATTGGTGTACGTACAGACGACTCTTTCCTGGAATTTTTCTCCACCCCAACTGAAAATTTCAGTTCAGCTCAGATCGATCTGGCCACAGCCGACTATTATATATATATAGTAGGAGTAGAGGCGTTCTACATTCCTATTGCTACATTTCTACAAAAGTGATAAATACCAAAGTTGAATAACTCATCAAGATCTACAACTTTTGTATTGATCATTTCTTCATATGACAAAGTGGTAATGACATTGTTCACAAATGTGACACATCTCTCATGAAGTTTTATAAACTATATGAGACATGTGTAAGATTAGTGAACAATGTATGCTAAGAATTTGTCAAATGAAGAAATTACCAAAATAAAACTTGTAGATATTCATGAGTTGAACAACTTTGGTACTCATCACTTTTTATGTTGAAATCAATTTGGGTCTCAAATTTTGGTTTGAACTTGTCGTTTTTCAAAATTTCAAATTTGAAAGGTTTCAATTTTGTCAAATGACAAGATGACTAAAATAAAAGTTGTAGATATTAATGAGTTGAACAACTTTGGTATTCATCACCTTTTATGTTGAAATCATTTTGGGTCTCAAATTTTGGTTCGAACTTGTCATTTTTTCAAATAACAAATTTGAAAGGTTCAAATTTAGTCAAATGACAAGATAACCAAAATAAAAGTTATAGATCTTGATGAGTTGAACAACTTTTGTATTCATTACTTTTACATCTGAAATCATTTAGGGTTTTAAAATTTGGTTTGAACTTGTCAAATTTTAAATTTCAAATTTTAAAATGGGTAAAACATTGTCACATCCAAGTTTGATCAAACTTAAATGCTGAAGCATAATTTTAGAAATTTTTAGAAAAAAAACCATCACATTTAAAGTTAGTATGAGAAAGAACAAGTAGTTACAAAGTTTATCCACAGATTAAAAAGAGAAATCACACTGTTCTAGATGATCCTTACATGATCATAGTTTTTCTTCCTCGTACTAACTCCAAATCTGATGATTTTTTTTTCTAAAATTTTTAAAATCATTCTCTATCAATTTATTTTGTTGGTTTTGTCAATATATACATATGAAAAGTTTGAGCAATTTAAATTTTGAATTTCAAAAAAATGCAACTTCATACAAGATTTTGGTACCCCAAATGATTTCAGCTGAAAAAGTGATAAATACCACATCTCTCATATGGTTTTATAAACTATATGAGATATGTGTAAGATTAGTGAACAATGTGTGCTAAGAATTTGTCAAATGAGGAAATGACAAAAATAAAAGTTATAGATATTCATGTGTTGAACAACTTTAATATTCATCACTTTTTATGTTGAAATCAATTTGGGTCTCAAATTTTGGTTCGAACTTGTCGTTTTTCAAAATTTCAAATTTGAAAGGTTCAAATTTTGTCAAATGATAAGATGACTAAAATAAAAGTTGTAGATATTAATGAGTTGAACAACTTTGATATTCATCACTTTTTATGTTGAAATCATTTTGGGTCTCAAATAAAAAATCAGAAAGAATCAAAAGTAATCAAAAGTAAAAAAAAAAGAACCAAGAAAAAAGGACACAGCAAAATAAATGGGTGATAAAGAACAACCCAGAGGCCTTTGGGCCGAACAACCCTGGATTGGGCTACCGCTGCAGCCGACCTTCACCTCGCGGGCGCTCTCTCTCTCTCTCTCTCTCTCTGTCTGCGACGACTGGGCGCCGCCGCCGCCCTGCGTCAGGAGCCGGAGGTCTTCGTTGGACCCTTCGCCCATGACGAGCGTCCGCCAGGTTTTCCAGCTCGCACCATTTCCCTTCTCTTCCTGATGTGCTAAACCGAGCACCCAAAACCTAACTTAATCGGCTGTGCATGTGTACACCCATGTCCTTCACCGGTTCCATCCCTGTCCGTAGGCTGACGGCGACGGCGATGGCGGAGGCGACGGAGAGGAGGAAGCGCGCGGCAGTCGTGGTACTGGGCGACATCGGTCGCAGCCCGCGGATGCAGTACCACTCCCTCTCGCTCGCTAACCAGGTCCGCTCCTCCTAAATCCACCATCTCGTTTTAGCAGTGTTTCGGTTAAATTGGGCAGGGCTGCACTCGAACCGTCTCTCCAGCTTGCTGCGCGCAGTTGATTGCTTCCGCAGTAGCAAAAAATTATCTATTGGCCATGGAAAGATTTTGGAGTGACGTGAAGGAAGGAATAGTCCTTACAGTTACCTATCCGATGTTCAGAACACCAAGCATGCAATACAGGAGGGGAAAGAGATAGCCATGAATGACACGGCAACTAATGCCAAGAAGTTTGAGGAGCAGAGATGTCTAAATCATTGATACAAATTATACAACACATTTCTTTTCTTTGAGTGCAAAGATCTTGTAGAGTTCCAGACATCACAAATCTCTTATTTAGTAAAGATAATTTTGAGCATACAGTAATCCAAATAGACCTCCATACATTATTATTTTTTACATTCATCAGAGGTATATTTTTCTGAAAAAAATAAAGATAGTCATATGATAATTTCATTAGCGAGAGAGATTAATCAAGCAAAGAGAGAGTACATATATAGGAATAAAGTACTGCCTATGAATTAGCATATACCTGAAAATCAACAACTCTTTGTAAATATAGAAACCATAGAAAGGAGAGAGAGAATCCAAGGTAGCATGTATCGCTTGATTGACATGGACGACGGTGGTACTACTCGACCTAAGTAGCAGTCTTCATTGTCAGAGTTGTTGTGACTAACCTCAACAATTACGGTGGGTCTTTCTCTTAGGAAAGGTCCAATTGCTTGCTGATCCGTCCCTCTGCCACGAACAGGTAGGAACTCAAGCCGACGTTCATGGCCATATCGCCGCCCAGCACGGACCCTGGTTCGAGTTCGCTGCCTGGCGCGTATAGCGGCTCTGCGTCTTCTGCGACGCAGATGTCCCGGAGTACTGGAGCTCAGCGCCAATCCCACATCCCCCCTCGCTGCTTTGATCAACCCCAAGGTTGAGACATGGGCCGATGGCCGTGGGTGGCTGCGCTGGCATGGCCGGTAGGCTCGTGGAGTCGGCAGCGCTCCTTCTTGGTCTCCATCTCTTTCGTGTACCTCGCCCTGATGTATTTGTTGTTCAGGTTAGTGTCAAGTTCCTTATTATGTGTATTCAGAGTTTCATGAACACTACACACAACCACTATCAGTTCAGATGTCATGTAAGCTGGCTAACGTTAGCATTGTATCTTTGTGTCTGGCTTAAGTTGGAGATCATGCTATGCAGTGGATATGGTGCCTTTCTGACACCTTTTCTTTCTAACTAGTCTTTGTATAGCACATTTGTGAAGCTGTCTAATCTGACTTGTACATCCTTAGTTGCAGAATATGCTCCAGTCTCCTCTTTTAGTGGATTATATTGTAGTTTTGTACCATGAGTGTTTTGATTACAGTCGCCTAGAGTCCCTTTGTTTGATGCTTACAGAAGTACCTTTTTGTTTGACATGGCCTCAAAATTTTCAACAACATGCTTTTTGATGTAACAGGAGACCTAATTTCAGTTTTTTGTTTATCTTTTTTCCAATAGAATCCACCCTCTGTCCCAACACTGGCTGCTGTAAAACTGGCAAGCTGGCTGAGAGGTGCTAAATTTATTGTGGATTGGCATAACTTTGGATATACATTGCTGGGGTTGTCGCATGGCAGAAGTCACATTATAGTCAAAATATATTTCTGGTAATCCATTTTACCCTGATCGTTTATCTTCTGTTAAGATTAACATAGCATATATAACTTGGTGTTCCAGAATTTTGTTCCTTTACTTGAAAATATCTGTTAATATAGTAACTTGTTCTGTATTCTATAGGTTTGAGAAGCACTTTGGGCAGATGGCTGATGGTGCCTTTTGTGTTACAAAAGCAATGCAGCATGAGCTTGCTCAAAATTGGGGAATCAGGTAGACTGATCAAACTTAAACATAGTTTTCTCCATATATATGAAGGACTGCTGTTCACATTCTCTAGTCTGCAATTCCAGGGCAACAGTTCTTTATGATCAATCTCCTGATTTTTTCCACCCTGCTTCATTGATGGAGAAACATGGGGTGAGCATTTATTTTGAGTTTTTCTTTCCTCCTTCCAGTACCACATGTGACCTGAAGACACGTAATAGTTGTTTAGCAGGCTAGGGAATTCCATCTGTAGTGCTATGGGCAATGCTGATTGCAAATCAGTGGGTATGTTTTTTCTTCAGTTAACCAGAGCATTTTGATGTTTTGTGCTTATTTCACTTCAATTTATTTCTTGTTGCCTGATCATACCACCACCACCACATCGTCGAGAGTCTACTCCGGTGAGTATGAGTATGTTTTACTTTCTTTGCTCATGCTTAGTGTCAAACCTAGTGATGGCCTTCGTGCCGGATTTGTTGATGTGTCGGCCTTCGTGCCGGATTTGTTGATGTGTCGGCCTTCGTGCCGGAAATGTGGTTGTCTGCCTTCGTGCCGACGTTTTTCTTGCAGGTTTTGGAAACCTTCCCGTGCAGGGGAGGTGTTGCCGAAATTTTCAACTTTTCTTTAAACTCACATTTTTATCTTGTTACTCACATGCAATCTCCTCTCTTTTTTGCAGCATCAATCGGGGGCGGCGTCGAACCATGTCGAAGGGTCGCCGGCATCGCACGTCGGGCCATCCCCACCTGGACCGTCGCCGGGATCGCATGCTGGGGCGTCCCACCCCTCAAAGTCGCCGTGAGCCGCCTTCGGAGTCGTTTTTATGTATTGAACTTGTGAACTTGGAATAGTGTGTACTTTTGAACGTGTGGTTTGTAATATATTGTGGATTTCGGACAAATTTGGTCGTTTGTGATATATAAATGTGGTTTGTGACATTGGTGTTGATTTGTGGTTTGTGATATATATATGTGCTTTGTTGTTTACATGGAAAAGCAAAAAATAAAAAAAAAGAATTTTAGAGGTGGCTTCCCCGAGTGCATGTGCTGTGGCACTCGGGGAAGAGGGATTTTTTTTTAAAAAAAACAAATTTCTTTGCCGAGTGCCTGAGCTGCGGCACTCGGCAAAGAGTATTTAAAAAAAATTCAAAAATCTTTCCTAAGTGTTGCACTCGGGGAAGAAAATAAAAAAAAACGACGTCGGTCAACGGCGTCAAGTCTTCCCTGAGTGCCAGCACGGCACTCGGCAAAGCCTTCCCCGAGTGCACGATTTTTGACACTCGGGGAAGGCGACTTTCCCGTGAGAAGATTAGCCGGAGGCTCTTCCCCGAGTGTTGCACTCGGGAAGGCTTTCCCGAGTGCAACTGTGCCTTCTCCGAGTGCAACTGGCACTCGAGGAATCCAGCAGTTCCTGTAGTTTAAGTGTCTTCTGATCGAGCTGCTGCTAACTACCTAGTAGGCTCTCGCAAGTGTGTGTTTGGGATGGTTCTCTTCGGTGGCATTTATAGACCAAATGAGCGAGCAAGTGTGTGTGCGTGCGTGATGTGTGATGCCAACCCTACATACGTGTCTGCCTGGCTCCTTGCATTTATCCTGCAAATTGCATGCACGATTAATTATATATGTACAGCTTTTAGCTAGCTGGAGACGAATGTGACAATAAGGAATGGTTTGGAATGCGTCATTAATTATAAGCTCTATGGACGTTGTTTTGTCTTAACTAGCCTGATGACACCTTAAAGTAGTAGACCAACATGATGATCTGGACTTCCTTGTTAATAAAGAGTTGATACTGACATAGTAACCACATATCCATAAGTAAAATATTTGTATGACGCTAGCTAGCCATTCCTGTGCATATAAACCTCTTAACATTGCGTGTGGTCTTCATATATCTTTATGTCACAACTAGAGTTGTCCTAGCTATGTTAAATTTTCTTAAGTTTGACCAAATTTAAAGAAAAACATCAAATTTTTTATAATGTTTTTTATAATGAAAAATGTCAATTTTTATAACACAAAATTAGTACTCCATGAAATATTTTTTCATAGTATACTTGTTTCTGCCATAAATGGTTGTACTTTCCCCCTGTAGATTAAGCTTGGTTAAACTTAAAATACTTTGAAAATTGAATTATTTTGGGACAAAGAGAGTACGTCAACTAGAGTTAGGCGCAGTTAATTTAACCGGACTATTTGTGTGTGTATAGGAATCAATGATATATATGTTTCTGCGCATTATTTTCCGTAGAATTGCAAGCTTGTCAATCATCCATGTCGTCTTTAGTCACCATATGGATTGTTAGCTCGATGTTAAGAGAGGTACAGGTCGCTACTGATGCACAAAGCAAATAAAGCTTTTCTTCTTCTTCTTCAATAATGTGTGTTGATGGCTATTTTGTATGAACTGTGTTGGCGGCCTGCATGTACATGCACATGACGCAGCATGTTTGGTGTTTACACGATTCACCCTCATCGTCGCAATGTGTCATCCCGACCATTATTCACAGCGCACCCATCAATTTAGCACAGCTTGTTTAAACTTTTATTTCACGTAGTATACAAACGTACACATGCTTGTATGCATGTAGTAATATAAGAGAGCAACGTACAATTATTTGCGAGGTACAAGCTCGCTACCCATATGATCGATAGATCATCACTCTCAGAAAAATAGTGAAAAAAAAAGAAAGGACATACTACACATGCACAAAGCTACGGAGAGGGGTATGTGTAACCCATGCATGCTGATTATGCAGAGCAACAACGAACACACACATATATATAGTATGAGCTAGCGATCAAAGCAAATCATCATGATGCATGCATTTTAATTAAATTAAACGGGGCAGGTGAAGTCCGCAGGGCAGATCTTGCCGCAGTAGTTGAGGAGGAGACTGAGGTCGACGGGCACGTTGAGGTTGATGCCCAGGATGTTGGCCTTGATGGCGGTGCAGAGGCAGACGGCGGCGTCCAGGTCGATGAGGCCCTCCAGCAGCGGACAGCACTGGTCGTTCTTCGGGGGGATGTTGAGCTTCAGTAGGTTCAGCACGTTGGCACACACCTCCAGCTTCAGAGCGTTGATCGGGCACGACCCGTGGCCGCCACTATGATTTTGAGGGCCCTCTGACGAACTCGTCGCGATGGCCTCTCTAGACCATAAAATTTTAGAATATATAGGCTAATTTTACTTGTTTAGGAAAAACAAATCCAATAATATATTTTTAATTTATTATATCTGATAATTATCGAGAGCGAGAAACAACGTAGACTAAAAGAGCAATATATTTGTACTTCTAGAACTAATACGGTTACCTTAAAGAAGAATAGAACTCCATCATATCCACTGCTTCTTATAAAAAGATACTTCTTTGGGCATTTCTTGATACAAAATCATCAAGGACGGTATCGAGATCAATAGTGTTTAAGATATCCTTCTCGATGGTGCACATAGCCAAGCCATTTAGCCTTTCTTGTGACATAGTTGATCTCAAATAGTTCTTCAACAACCTCAATTTTGAGAAACTTCAATCTCGATGGTTGCACAACATCAATTGAATTTTTAGGTTGAGAGGAAGGCTGTAAATTTTCATTATCTATAGCATCAACTTGTTCACTTAAATTATCATTAACTTGTTGTTGCTCTTCTTCTTAATTATCAGGTGCATCTATAGGGTTGTCATCACGCACAGCACTACTTGAAGCTAAAAAAAACTTATCTAAAGCACCTTGTTGTGACTGAATAAACTGTTCTTTTTGTCTTTTTCGTTTTCTTTTCGTAGCCCCTGACAAATGTTTCTTAGGTAACATTCTAAAATTCTTACACCTGACCAAAATTACAAGAAAAACATGACTATATGAGTACAAAGTACTAGACAAAATTTGAACAAGAAAAAAAACCTAGGGACTAGACAATTTAGACATGAACTGATTCAGAAACAAGATTCAAATCACAAAAAAGGGCAGAAGGCAATAACCAAGATAAATCTTCAGATGTCGTCGACTCGTCGTCCTCGTCGAGCACTGCCTCGGGCCCTCGGCTGCCTTGTCGCATGGTGATCGCTCGATCGGCGCTGCGTCTCGCCGTTTGCGGAAGTCTGTGCGGCGGAAGTAGCGATCGCTGATTCGCTGTCATGCTGTGCGGGGCTGCGGCATTGGCGGCTCAGCTCCTGATTGCTGAAAAGAAAGACAAAGAGGCCGACGGCCACCTGGCCTCCTGATTCCTGAAGAGAAACACTGAAAAAGAGGCCGACGGGCTCCTGGCCTTTGATTCCTGAAAAGAAAGACTGCGCCGGCGCTGATGGGCTGCATTAATCCTAAAATCTAATGGACCTATATACTTGGGGTATGGGGTCTTATATACTTGGGCTTAGGCCCCCATCCCGCCTGGCCCCCCGGCCATCGCCCCCAGTCCGGTAGTGAATAAAGCTTTTCTTCTTTTTCAATAATGTGTGTTGAGGGCTATTTTGTATGAACTGTGTTGGCGGCCTGCATGTACATGCACATGACGCTGCATGTTTGGTGTTTACACGATTCACCCTCATCGTCGCAATGTGTCATCCGGACCATTATTCACAGCGCAGCTCTATCGATACCCATCAATTTAGCACAGCTTGTTTAAACTTTTATTTCACGTAGTATACAAACGTACACATGCTTGTATGCATGTAGTAATATAAGACAACAACGTACAATTATTTGCGAGGTACAAGCTCGCTACCCATATGATCGATAGATCATCACTCTCAGAAAAATAATGAAAAAAGAAAGAAAGGACATACTACTACACATGCACAAAGCTACGGAGAGGGGTATGTGTGTAACCCATGCATGCTGATTATGCAGAGCAACAACGAACACACACACATATATATAGTATGAGCTAGCGATCAAAGCAAATCATCATGATGCATGCATTTTAATTAAATTAAACGGGGCAGGTGAAGTCCGCAGGGCAGATCTTGCCGCAGTTGTTGAGGAGGAGACTGAGGTCGACGGGCACGTTGAGGTTGATGCCCAGGATGTTGGCCTTGATGGCGGTGCAGAGGCAGACGGCGGCGTCCAGGTCGACGAGGCCCTCCAGCAGCGGACAGCACTGATCGTTCTTCGGGGGGATGTTGAGCTTCAGTAGGTTCAGCACGTTGGCACACACCTCCAGCTTCAGAGCGTTGATCGGGCACGACCCGCCGCCGCCACCAGACGGCGGCGGCGGCACCACCGGCGGAGTAGGACAGTACGGCGTGCAGCCATGCACCAGGGCCAGGGCAGTGGAGAGGACGGTCAGGGCGAGGAACAGGGAAACAAGCTGCTTGGACGCCATTGCTACCGATCAGATAGCTATAGCTATAGCTCTTCAGGGGATTAAGTGTCTTCTGATCGAGCTGCTGCTAACTACCTAGTAGGTTCTCGCAAGTGTGTGTTTGGGATGGTTCTCTTCGGTGGTATTTATAGACCAAATGAGCGAGCAAGTGTGTGTGCGTGCCGTGTGAACATGCATGTGTGTATTTTGATAAGGGAGCAAGTGTGTGTGCGTGCGTGATGTGTGATGCCAACCCTACATACGTGTCTGCCTGGCTCCTTGCATTTTTCCTGCAAATTGGATGCACGATTAATTATATATGTACAGCTTTTAGCTAGCTGGAGACGAATGGGACAATAAGGAATGGTTTATTTGCTACTGGGCTAACTAGTAAGTATTTTGGTTCGTTGCCTTACCTTGTGTCCACTTATCCTTTTTACAATGAAAAGGGCCAAACTACCTAATGTCTAGAAAAACAAGGGAATATTTACAAAAGAAAACATACAAACCGAGAGATGGAGGAGGAGGTGGAGGAGGAGAAGAAGAATTATCCACAAACACAATCACCTCCTCACTTTGGCAGAATCACTCGAAATAGCACACTTCCAGAGGCGCTCGTCTTTCATCAGACACTAAGCACCCCGAAAGCTGATTACATCAGACTGTTCCGTCGAGCACACCCTAAGGGAGAACTCGAATAATCCACATTTTTCCTCTAGCTAGGATCCAATAATGAGAACGAGTTTACATTACTTAGTCCATTTTATACAACAAGAGTTCTCAGAAATACATTATTACAATACCAAGTTCAGAGTGCGGAATTTAAACAGCAGAATTACAATAAACATCCAACGATAAGATATAAGGATCCGTCTGTGCCCACCAGAAGAATCCTCCAAACAACAACTACTCCTCAAGCTGCACCTGCAACAGGGGTAAATAAACCCTGAGTACATAATGTACTCGCAAGACTTACTCCACTAGTGGGAATAACTTCTCGACTCCAAAGAATATAATAAACTTTATGGTTTGCTGGGTTTCCTTTTTATGAAAAGCCTTACTAGTAGTGAATCCTTATGGATGTTCTTATTAATGGTCATGATTAGTTCATTTTCTAGCCATTCTATGTAAGCACCTGTTCTACTTTCAAGCAAGAGTTGAGCTATCAGATCCATTTCACCATCTTTCATCTTTCAGTTCTTACTACGGTGCTAGATCGTAGACAAGTCGTACCGTATTACACGGCGATTTGTGAATCAATTTAGCCCAGCTGGGTACCCTGAAACATACACCCCGCTTGTACCCTAGGCACAAGCAGGACTAACCCACCACTCTCCTGTCAAGGGGTCCAGGTCCCCGTCCAAACTTGGACTCCAAGCCCCCACACCTGAGTCTCGGACTCAGTGTGGTGCTTAGACCTCCACCATCCCCGTCTCCAATCAGTCGGTTCGGAAAGAGCCGGAACCCACGACAAGAGAGTAACGAGCCTTCCCGCTCCCATAAGCAAGTATGTGCTCAGGATAATAAGTCTGTGACTTGACTAGAATCCAATGCAACAGCGGGTCCTTAACCGACACGGACAGAGAAAACAGTGTAACCAAGCTATACCCCATTGGCCGTGGGACACAACCTCTTACACCCACCAATACTCGTACCATATCCCAGTCTGGTCTCCATTACCTTTCACCATTTTATCATGAGAGTGATAATAATAATCACCTATTGTGAGTAACGATAGGTTACTCAGGCTACCGATAGCCTAAGCATAGCAGCTACTTGACATATGCTAGTAGGACTCCTGGGTAGGTATATCTATGCATGTAGTTTCAACAATAAGCATATAACGTAAATGCACATCATATATATATATATATCCAATTATTATTCAAAATAAAGGTTATGCACCGGGGCTTGCCTTGGGCAGGCGGGGTGTCAGCTCAATCAGTCAGTGACGGCTCCGGAACTTCATCCTGCATGAGGATCTTGTCCTCGTACTCCTCGATCACCTCCTCGAACTCGTGATCTCCGATGGTCACGATCTCCGCCAACTCGTTCTCTACATGCATGCGATGATTATGCAACACTTAGCATTTCGGCAACAACTCTTAAAATAAGAATACACATGGTAAACTACTAAGTTAGCTCTAATGACTAAGATACTAAGCTAACTATCATCCTTTCCACTAAACAGGTATGAAACATTCAAGTATTATCTTAGCAACTAAAATGCATTTCTTCTTTTATTAAAGGTTTAATGTATATTAAAACAAGGAGCACCTAACTACCTTATTTCTCGGTCTATTCTAGGGCCACAAAAATTACCGTGAGCACATAATAATACAATGAACCTACTGTAAAAATTTTATAGCCAAAGCTATTACCAATTTGCCACAAAAATTCCTACAAATACTAATCTAAATAATACTAAACACTTCCAATTGATTTAATAGGCCTCAGTATCAACTCAGTCATGCATAAGCTAACTATGCCATCAGATACACAACATTTTTAGAAACTCAATAAAATTTATTTCACAAATTATGGACACCTATGCAAATTGATATTAATTTTCAAAATTTAGCTCAGAAATTAAAATATAAAGCTATTTCTAATTCCTTAAGAAAAGGAAAAACGAATTCCACCCGCGTGGCCCACCACCACGTGGACGCGGCCCACGCACATAGACCGGCCCACGGCGGAAGGGAGCCCGCGCGCGTGGCACTTTTGCAAAAAGCGCCCTTGCT